GAGGGAGGGAAAGAAAGCCAGTATCTGCCTTCATTTAATCTGGGCCATTTAACTTTGTAAAGTTAAATGAGAGTAAGTTCTTCCAACCAGCTTAATTTTTTTTTTTAGACTGTTATGATGCCCTCCAAACACATCCTTCAGGTGCCCAAAGTGGCATTTTCAATATCAAGCTACCGGGATCCAGTAAGATTTTTTCTGTTTATTGTGATCAAGAGACCGGTTTGGGAGGATGGCTTTTGATCCAGCAAAGAATGGATGGCTCACTGAATTTTAACCGGACCTGGCAAGACTACAAGAAAGGTTTCGGCAGCCTAAATGACAAGGGAGAAGGAGAATTCTGGCTAGGCAACGAATACCTCCACTTACTAACCCTGAGAGGCTCCATCCTTCGGGTTGAACTAGAAGACTGGGCTGGGAAAGGGGCTTATGCAGAATATCACTGGAGGGTAGGCTCTGAGGCAGAAGGCTATGCCCTGCAGGTCTCCTCCTACGAGGGCACGGCAGGTGATGCTCTGATTGAGGGTTCTGTAGAGGAAGGGACAGAGTACACTTCTCATGCTGGCATGCGCTTCAGCACCTTCGACAGGGATGCAGACAAGTGGGAAGACAATTGTGCTGAAGTCTACGGAGGAGGCTGGTGGTACAACAACTGCCAAGCAGCCAATCTCAATGGCATCTACTACCCCGGGGGCTCCTATGACCCCAGGGACAACAGTCCCTATGAGATTGAGAACGGAGTGGTCTGGGTCCCCTTCAGAGGTGCGGATTATTCCCTCAGGGCTGTTCGCATGAAAATCCGGCCCTTTGGGACACAATAGGCTGAAGGAGTGGCAGTGAGAGCACTCTGTTTTTGTGTTTAGTGAAGAGGAGAAAAAATTAAGGAGGGGATAGGAGTCGAGATTCTTTACAGCCTACTAAAAACTCTTGGGTGCTATTTTATTATTCTTTGTACTGTAGCTAAATGTAACTGAGACATATTAGTGCTTTAAAAAATAAAGATATATGAACTTTAAAGCTTTAAAATAGCTCTGTGGGTTTTAAAATTTTTATTAAAATGCACCAAGGGACATTCGGTACATCAGGAAGGGGGTGTTGAGTGGAAGGTCCTCTCTGCAACACTTAAGGGTGGAGTTCTGAGAACGTCTCCATTTCCCACACCACCCAAAGTCATGGGGTCATTGTAAAGTAAAAAAGTAATTTCATCCATTCTACTTGAATGGTTTTAAACCAATATCTTAAGTTGCGAATCATTGAACTGAACACTGGCTGGACTTTGTATAGGAATTTACACATTACTAAGTACATTCATCTCTTCTGTTGGCAAGCAAATCCAGCAAGGCAGGAGAAGCATTCTTTCCTAACAGAAATAGAGATCTATCTACTTCTTAAGTCTTCCAATGAAGACCATAATGCACATAGAATTTTTTCCCTAGAGTCTGACCAATTTCTTTCAGAAAAATACATGAAAAAAAAGCATTTAAAATCTTTTAAATATTTACAAGTAGTCCAAAAACATTGAACTTACACATTAATAAAAAATCCCCACAGCATTCATTTGACTTCATTTTTCACCAATCATAAAGTATATCCTGTGATGTAATACTTGTTATTAAAGTAAGACATTCGCTTGAAATCATCTCACTAAATATGATCTATGCCATATCCATAAATTCAACATGTTTACATTGGTCAGTATTCTATTTGATCTAAAAATAGATCATCTTTGATCTTGGTGAACTTAGCTCCTGGCCCCAATTTTTAAATCACATTTTCTTCTAGTGAGAACCACTTGCCACTTACCCTTGGAAATGTATTAAAATATTCCAAGCATATTGGTATCCCAGTACATTGTCCTCACTTGCACAGTTTCTATCCTAATGTAAATGCATCCTTTCTCCTAGGAAGGAAACAAGGGGAAGGAGGGAAGGAAGGAAGGAAGGAACAAAGGAAGGAAGGAAGAGAGGGAGAAGAAGAAGGAGGTAGGGAGGAGGGGAGAGAAGAAGGAAAGACACCAGGGCTCTTGTCCAGTGCCTGGGGAGCAGAAAAAAGGTGAGTAAAAGAACTTGCAAATGAGTCACATATGAAGCCCCAGTATCCTTGCATTTCCTTATGTGCTGTTGAAAACCCTTCATACAAATATGTGACGTCCCCCACAACTTTGTATAACTGGATATGAACTTCTTCAAAATTAAAAGGATTTTCATTCATTTCAGACATTAGAGTGCCATAGTATTTCTCGGCCTACCACCTTTACACCCACACATCTGCCTCCACAGAATTGGAGTTGGAAGTATTTTATTTTCCAGAATATCACAATATTAGGGACAGAATTGGGTCCCAAAATGAAATCAACTTTGATTGTGAAGGGCCATTCATTTCTCATTTATTTTGAAGGCTTTGAGTTTATTAGCAAAGAATAAGCAACCTCTTAATTTAATAAACAATAGCCAATATTAGCAGAATCATGATAATTGGAGATACAGTTTAGTTGTGAGAAAAGACACCAAACATCTCTTTTTCCACTTTATCTTATCTTTAACCTATTGCCCTATTTCCCTAATTCCTGAAATTAAATACTAATTCAGCCTCTCTGACTCTCATTCACTTAGAAGCCCACTTTAACTTAGCTTTCACTTGGTTACCACTCTCTTGAAATTGCTCTCTTAAAAGTCAACAGGAATTTTGGAGTTCTAAATTTAAGGTCCTATATTCAAGTCCTTTCTGCCTGATTTTTTTCAAACATCTGCCACTATTGTCTCCATCTACCTCTTCAAGCTATATTTCTCTCTTGCTTTCTAGTATGCCCTGCCCTTCTGTCTCACCTTTCTCAGTCTTTGCAACCGGCAATTCCTTCTCAGATCATTCCTTAAATGTAGGAGTTTCTCACTGCAATAACATTAGTACTCATTTTTATTAGTTGGGATTAGGTTTGACACAAGTGGCTTAAATAAGATGGAAAACTCTACAAGAATATGTTCCCATGGTCTTTAGGAAGGCTGCATCATAATAAATAACTTCCATCCTCAAGTTTACATCATGTCCCAAACATTCTGTCCTGTGCAATCTGGAAGAGGAGAGACAGAAGAGAAAGGAGTGCCTTGACTCTTTTAAGAAACTTTCTAGGACATTCCATAGAGCACATCCTCTATGTCCCATAAGTCACACAGGCCAAGCTGCTGAAGAAGTCAAGACACTTTGCCTGTTCTCTTAGACACAAGATTAAAATTAGGAGGAGATGGAGGATAGAGTTTGAGGGAAGCAATTAGCAGTCCATCTTTTCTCACTCTGCAAGTGAGTATATTTTCTCCTTGGATGATTTGACAATCACTACAGATCCAATTACCATCAATAGGTTGATGATAACAATCTAAAACTTCAGCCCTGACCTTCAGATCCATATTTTCAACTCATACTGAACACATCCAGTTAGATATTTCTCATTAATCTAAGATTAACTAATTACCTTCCCATCAAAACCTATTGTATCTCTCTATTTCTTATCCTAGTCAGGGGCCTCATTAGTTCTCCTATTTCCTAATCTAGAAAACTTGGGCTCCTTCTCAGCTTCTATTCTTCCTTTATATCAACTATTTGATCTACTCCCAAACCATCTCCTACTCTAAAATTGTCCATTCTTACAACACTGTTATGCTCTTATGTTATCTTGTGTTAATCTTTTCTCATTTGAGCTGTTTAACAGTCTCTTAACCTCTCACTTTACTACCATTCTTTACTTTTTTATTGAAGTACAGTCAATTTACACAATGCTGTGTTAGTATCAGGTGTACAGCAAAGTGATTGAGATAGATATATATGCGTATATATATATATTCCTTTTCATATTCTTTTCCATCATTGGTTATTAGAAGACATTGAATATAGTTCCTTGTGCTATACAATAGGACCTTGTAGTTTATCTATTTTATACAGTAGTGTGTATATGTTAATCCCAAACTCCTAATTTATCTCTTCCCCCTCATCCTCTTTGGTAATCATAACTTTGTTTTCTATGTCTGTGAGTCTATTTCTGTTTTGTAAATAAGTTCATTTGTATCATTTTTTTAGATTCCACATATAAGCAATATCATATAATATTTGTCTTTCTCCATCTCACTTGCTTCATTTAGTATGTTAATCTCTAGGTCCACCCATGTTGCTGCAAATGGCATTATTTAATTATTTTTTTATGGCTGAGTAATATTCCATTGTGTATATATATATATATATATATATATATACCACATCTTCTTTATCTATTCATCTGTTGATGGACATTTAGGTTGCTTCAATGTCTTGGCTATTGTAAATAGTGCTATTATGAACACTGGGGTGCATGTATCTTTTTGAGTTAGCTTCCTCTAGATATATGCCCAGGAGTGGGATTGCTAGGTCATATGGTAACACTATATTTAGTTTTTTAAGGAACCTCCATACTGTTCTCCATAACAGTTGTACCAATTTACATTCCCACCAACAGTGTGGGAGGGTTTCCTATTCTCCACACTCTCTCCAGCATTTATTATTTTTAGACTTTTTAATAGTGGCCATTCTGACTGGTGTGAGGTGATATCTCATTGTAGTTTTGATTTGCATTTCTCTGGTAATTAGCGATATAGAGCATCTTTTCATGTGCCTATTGGCCATTTGTATGTCTTTTTTGGAGAAATGTCTATTTAGGTTTTCTGCCCATTTTTTTGGATTGGATTGTTTGTTATTTTGATATTAAGCTGTATGAGCTGTTTATATATTTTGGAAATTAATCTCTTGTTGATAGCATAGTTTGCAAATATTTTCTCCCAATCTGTACGTTGTCTTTCACCACCATTCTTTTGCTCATTCCTCCTCCACAAATTACCTTAAAAAATAGATCCAAACAGGTCTTTCTCCTGCTTAAGGACTTATCTCAAGGTTGGGTTAAAAGGTTTTATTTTTGCATACAAGCTGTTTCGCAAATTGATCTCCTTAGGCCTCTACAATCATTCACTTTACACTTCAATTACATTGAATTTCTCACTGGTATTGGGATACCAGCTCCTTTAAAGATTCTGTGCCTTTCCCTATGCTTCCTAGAAGCCTCCCCTTCATCGCTTAAAATACAGCTCAGCAATGTTCCTTCTGTCACCCTTTCCTTAATGCCCACTACAGAACATAGGACAGGAATTGTTCTCTGAACCCTCATAATTTTTGTGCACATCTCAAAAATAACACAGTCCATCTATAACTCTGCCATATTTGTTTATGTTATTATGGCACCAGATTGTGGACTCCTTTAAGCCAGTGCTCATTTCTAGTGTCTCCTGCCATGAACAAGAATGACTCAACGACCTAAGCTGGTAGGAACCAAGATGGCAGAGTAGAAGGACATGCTCTCACTCCCTCTTGTGAGAACACCAGAATCACAACTAGCTGCTAGACAATCATCGACACGAAAACACTGGAACTCACCAAAAAAATACCCCACATCCAAAGACAAAGGAGAAGCCACAGTGAGATGGTAGGAGGGGTGCAATCACAGTAAAATCGAATCCCATAACTGCTGGGTGGGTGACTCACAGACTGGAGAACACTTATATCACAGAAATCCACCCACTGGAGTGAAGGTTCTGAGCCCCATGTCAGGCTTCACAACCTGGGGGTCCGGCAATGGAAGGAGGAATTCCTAGAGAATCACACATTGAAGCCTAGTGGGATTTGATTGCAGGACTTTGACAGAACTGGGGAAAACAGAGACTGCACTCTTGGAGGGCACACACAAAGTTGTGTGTGCATCGGGACCCAGGGGAAGGAGCAGTAACCCCAGGGGAGACTGAACCAGACCTACCTACTTGTGTTGGAGGGTATCCTGCAGAGGCAGGTGGTGGCTGTGGCTCACTGTGGGGACAAAGACACTGACAGCAGAAGTTCTGGGAAGTACTCCTTGGCTTGAGCCTTCCCAGAGTCTGTCATTAGCCCCACCAAAGAGCCCAGGTAGGCTCTGGTGTTGGGTTGCCTCAGGCCAAACAACCAACAGGGAGGGAACCCAGCC